GAGAGAAGTGCAATGCGTTTGTTGATAGCTGTAGGTAATTGTCTTGTAATGCTTGGTGGATGGTTTGAGTGTCTGTGGATGCACAATGGATCGTCATTGGGTTTCCTGTATGGTTTGTGTTTTGCGTTGATGAGGTCGAAAGTAACATCTAAAAAATTTACAACGTTCATATTTACTTCGGCGGTGATTTTAAGGTCAAATTGCTCGAAAATTTTGTGTAGCTTTTTTCTAGTTTTGTCTAGTAAACGGGCGGATTTGCTTTTTATAATAGCCAAACCATCATCTCTATAAAGTCCGATGTTTTCCTTGCCAAACCTCTTACCTAAGTGATTTAAAATGAAAAGGCCTACCAGCTCACAAATTTCAGCGCCGTCGAAACTACCCATAGTGACGTCAAATAAACTGTTGCTTCCGTCTTTTTTTGTCCATAATTTGCCGTTGCCGAAAAGTAGAGATTTTCTTGCATGTTTTATTATTGAAATATCGTTTTCGGTAATAGTAGTCGAATCAGAAGCCCAGGCCAATGCTTCATTTAAAAGTTTTTCGGAAATGGATGGGTAAAAATCCACAATATCAAATGAAATAAAACTGTGCCTGTCTTTATCGTTTATATTGCGAAACCATGAAATTACTTGTTGCGTATTTCTCCATTGATTTGAATTAAGTTTTTGTCTCAAATTGGAATTGATTTTATCTAAAATAACCTTACTTAGTTTTCCGGATTCGCTTTTTGCGGGATTAATTAGTCGGCATTTTGGATTGTTTTCGAAATTTTCTTTGTGATCTTTTAAAGATATAAATGCTTCGCGTTTTTTCATTCGTTCAATTCTGTCGCCAATTCCTAACCTACTCGAAATTTCTTTCAATTCGGAGTCAATTTCATGTATGAAGTCCTCTGATCCATGTTTGTACGTTTTCGTGATGTTGTCATGTAAGAGTTCGTTGTATGTGTTCAGTGACGTTTCGTAAATGTTTCTAGTTTTGTCCGCGAAAATGAAAATATTGGGGGATGAATTAATTTTCTTCAAATCGTTAGCCAAAGATGTCTGAAATTGGTCTTTAGGACGCCGGAATTTCACGTTTTCAATTAGTTTTATCAGGTCGTCTTCGAAAGGTTTCAAAAGTGGAATTGAAGGAGGCGATTTGTTAGACGAAAGGCCGAAAAGGTTGCTTTGGTTTTGGGTCGTTGATCCTTTTAGGAAGAAATTAGCTTTCCATCTCATACGTTTTGTTACGCTTTCCACTTTTTCAATCAAATTCTTTAAGTAAGCATCCTGTGATGGTATAGGAATATTCTTTAGTGAATAATCGAATCGAAATTGTCGCATGTTTGAAGTAGAAATAAAATGAATAACGTAGACAAGAGTGCACAACCGATTACCGGGTGCAAATATATATATTCTAGAGTGTGTATTATATAATTTCCATACCCAGCGCAAGCAGAAAGATGTTGTCTGCCGCGGCTGGGTCTTGAACCCGCGACCTTCGAATTACTAGATCGACGCTCTACCAACTGAGCTACACGGTCAGACGGATTTAAGACTGGAAATTATGAAATATATACTGAATGTCATAAGCATACTCGTTTATATTAATTCAGCATCGAACAATACTAGTTCTGCAAGTGTTATGTTAACATAACACTTGCAGAACTATAGTATTGTAGAAGAAGAAGGGGCTTGCCCCGAAACGTAATAAAAAGTTGTTATATGAGCTCTGATGTATCATTGATTGATTTATATAAATGTTGGGCTTTAGAGAAAGTTGGCTCAGTGATAGATTTATATATATATATATATATATATATATATATATATATATATATATATATATATATATATATATATATATATATATATATATATATATACATACATACATACTTTATTGTGTTCCCTAAATAGGGATTTTCAACACTGATTTACAAAAATAAATGTTGTTCTATTTACAAGTTTTAGAATCTAGAATTTAAATTAAGGTAAAAAGGTAAGACATTTGTATAAAGTTTAACAAGGTAAAATTATCTACTTATATATTTGTTCTAGCATGCTTCGCTTCAGTTCGTTTTTGAAAATTTTTAGGGAGTCTAACTTTTTGTACTTTATGTCCAAATCATTCCAGAGTGTAACGCCTCTATAATGAAAGGACCTTTGACCTGCAGAAGTTTTGTACAATGGTATTTGCAGTGAGTCATGGCTACGTGTATCTCGCTGATGAATGTCAGAACGTTTTGTGAATAAATCGCTCAAATAATGTGGAGCAAGTTCATTGACACATTTGTACATCATAATAGCCTCTCTTAGTAGTAATTGTTCCTTTACTGGGAGCCAGTTAAGTTCGCGTAAGCCCGGCGAAATATGATCGAACTTTCCAATATTTGTTATTATCCTGCATGCAAAATTTTGTACCAACTGTAGTTTCTTAATGTTGGTAGACGAAGTGTTTGACCAAACCGTTGAACAATAGAACATTTTGTTCATTACAAGTGCCGAGACGATGAGAGTTAAAGCTTCTTTATCGAAACATTTTTTGCCTCGGTTTATTTGGCACAGGGAATTCATACATGAGGAAACCAGGTTGGTGATGTGCTGGTCATATGTCAAATAAGAGTCGATTGTCATTCCTAGATCTTTGGCAAAGGAGACGGGGGTAATAGTCTCGTTGAGGAAGTTTATGGTCATATCTACGGGAAGTTGTTGTAGGTTTTGCCGTGTGCCAATCAGCATGTATTTGGTCTTTCCCGTGTTAATAAGCAATTCATTTTCGGAACAACTGTTTGCAATCAAATACAAATCTTCCTCAAGTTGTTGCTTTAAACAGTCCACGTTAGCCACAGTGAAAGATAGTAATATCTTGGAGTCGTCCACGTACGATTCAAGTTTACTATGGTGGACTGATGAGGGCAAATCGTTAGTATAAATACTAAAAAGTAAAGGTGATAAAATTGCACCCTGTGGTACACCATAAGAAACAGGGAGAGGAGTAGACACAGTTGATCCAATTCTGACTGATTGAGTTCTTCCGGTCAAGTAACTCCAAAACCATTTTACAACGCTTGGAGAAGCCCCGACGTTGCTAAGTTTTGTAAGGAGAAAAGTATGATTTACACTGTCGAAAGCTTTAGATAGATCTATTAGAATCAGTGCAGTAACCAATTTCCCATCCATGGCCTTTAGGATAGTATCTCCGGTCAAAAGATTCAATGTTTCGCATGAGTGATGTTTCTTGTTCCCGCTCTGGTGGGTTGACAATTTTTTGTTCTTCATTAGATACGAACCAAATTGATTCAAGGCGACTTTTCACAAATTTTCGAAAGAAAGGTAAGGAGAGAAAGTGGGCGGTTATTTGATGCTTCCTCGTGGTTTCCATCCTTTAACAAAGGGATAACTTCTGCCTCTTTCCATGCTATAGGGAACGAAGATGACGACAGTGAGCAATTAATGATATCGGTGAGGGGCCCAAGAATTACCGGTAGGCTGTGTTTGATGACACGCATACTCACTTTGTCTTTGCCGGGTGATTTGTTTGACGGCATAGCTAATATGATGTTCCTTATTTCTGAACAAGAGACTGGGGTGAAACTAAATCTATCATTTTCTTCAGGGTGGCTGTTATCTGTGCGATTTACGTCAGAAAGATTCCGAGCTGGATAAACACTAGGATCCTGTATTAGTGTTGAGGCTTTCTTTGCTGCATTCACACCGATGGTGGAAAAGAAATGATTAAACTCTTCGGCCACTAATTTCGGTTCCTTACTGTAGACCACTGACTCTCTTTCCCTATACGCTATATTTTCTTTAATTACCTTCCAAATTGACCCAGTGTTGTTTCTGTGTTGCTGAACTTCCTTCAGTACATATTCTTTCTGTGCATTAACAAGTGCGGTTTTTGTAAAATTGCGGGCCTCTCTGAAATTAAGCCAATCATAATGATCACGTGTTTTCCTGAAAAGACTGTGGAGCTGGTCTCTTTTGATCATGGATGCTTTTATTTCCGGAGTGATAAATGGGCAAGATTTTCCGCGCACTTTTATGGTCTTTACTGGGGCGTGTTTATCCAATGTATTTAAAAATATTTCATTAAAAATGGTTAGTTTTTCATCAACATTGTCCATTCTGAAAATGGAAACAAGACGATCACGGTTGGATGCCAGATCGATCGCGAACAAATCAGGGTCGTATTTATTGTAGCTGCGGGTAGTGATATAGTTTGGTGGAGATTTGTCGGTTTTAAGTTTTAA